GCAGCATTCTTCACCTGACCTCAGCCGGACTATAAATACTCACGTTCCTTCCACCCCAGGTAGTTCTGTTTGTGACTTGAAAAAGCCCACTGTGTGGGCGAAACGTAGTCAATAAAGGATCACATTATACTGCATTTGTGTTTATATTGCCATTGTGTCGGTATTTTATACCATTTATTTCCATCGATGTCCTTGCATATTCGGTAAGACAGCTGTTGAATGAACATTGGTGAATGTGTTTTCTTCTCTGCGTCACCCCCCCTTGACAGGAAATAAATGTACAGAAAATCTAACAGTAATTAAGCATCCTCAACAAGGATAACGGTAATCTGTATTAAAAACTGGGAACTGACACATCACATAGCCTATATATGTGGGTGACTCACAAAATTACTGTGATCCCAAAGAACATAAGCCATATTGTTTGACTTTATTGGATCACATTAAATTAAATCTACATAATGCAGTTTTTGTGCTCATAACAAGTGTGCCCCAAGACCACTGTAAACTGTTTGTATGTTAAGTATCCAAAGCCTATAAATACACTGACAACATGTAAGGTGGGTATAAAACAGAAATTAAAGGGGCTATTCATATTTCATTTACTAATGATCATATGAATTTCGTTGGAAAATACTTACATCTATTAGATTTGCTAATTATTATTATAATTAAAAAGAAGCGCTAAACCTACAAAATTTATAAAGCCTTAATTTGCTAAAAAAAATCGACTGCAGATATCTTAAGACTTAACTAACAAATACACACCAATTAATTATTAAAATATATATTGGCAGAAAGGTGGGCTGGTACAAGTATGAGCAGTGGAGGGGGGGGGGTTGAAGAAGGTTGGAATAGTTTTAAAAATGTAGTATTAGAATGTGGGGCAGAAGTTTGTGGTTATAGGAGGGTGGGGGCAGGAGGAAAGAGGAGTGATTGGTGGAATGATGAAGTAAAGGTTGTGATAAAAGAGAAAAAGTTAGCATATGAGAGGTTTTCACAAAGCAGAAGTGTTGTAAGAAGAGTAGAGTACATGGAGAGTAAAAGAAAGGTGAAGAGAGTGTTGAGAGAGTGCAAAAGGAGAGCAGATGATAGAGTGGGAGAGGCATTGTCAAGAAATTTTAATGAAAATAAGAAAAAAATTTGGAGTGAGTTAAACAAGTTAAGAAGCCTAGGGAACAAATGGATTTGTCAGTTAAAAACAGAGTAGGGGAGTTAGTAGATGGGGAGAGGGAGGTTTTGGGTAGATGGCGAGAATATTTTGAGGAACTTTTAAATGTCGACGAAGAAAGGGAGGCGGTAATTTCATGCACTGGACAGGGAGGTATACCATCTTTTAGGAGTGAAGAAGAACAGGATGTGAGTGTGGGGGAGGTGCGTGAGGCATTACGTAGAATGAAAGGGGGTAAAGCAGCTGGAACTGACGGGATCATGACAGAAATGCTAAAAGCAAGGGGGGATACAATGTTGGAGTGGGAGTCGGCCGACTTGATGAAAAAAAAAAGAAAAAAAATATATGAAAGAGGGGAAGGTACCTAGAGATTGGCGGAGAGCTTGTATAGTCCCCTTATATAAAGGGAAGGGGAGCAAAAGAGATTGTAAAAATTATAGAGGAATAAGTTTACCGAGTATACCAGGAAAAGTGTACGGTAGGGTTATAATTGAAAGAATTAGAGGTAAGACAGATTGTAGGATTGCAGATGAGCAAGGAGGTTTCAGAGTGGGTAGGGGATGTGTAAGTCAAGTGTTTACATTGAGGCATATATGTGAACAGTATTTAGATAAAGGTAGGGAAGTTTTTGTTGCATTTATGGATTTAGAAAAGGCATATGATAGAGTGGATAGGGGAGCAATGTGGCAGATTTTACAAGTACTTGTATATGGAATAGGTGGTAAGTTACTAAATGCTGTAAAGAGTTTTTATGATAGTGAGGCTCAGGTTAGGGTGTGTAGAAGAGAGGGAGACTACTTCTCAGTAAAAGTTGGTCTTAGACAGGGATGTGTAATGTCACCATGGTTGTTTAATATATTTATAGATGGGGTTGTAAAATAAGTAAATGCTAGGGTGTTCAGGAGAGGGATGGGATTAAATTATGGGGAATCAAATACAAAATGGGAGTTGACACAGCTGCTTTTTGCTGATTGTTGCAACCCCTGAATGGGTTGCAATGATTATTATGTACATATATAATTATTATTTTTTCATTTAATTTTATATTGCTTATATTTGCGATAATAGCTAAATCGTAAATGTATTGCTTTATATTGTTATTTGACTTGTTAGGTAGGATGTAACATATTATGTGCTCAGTTCAAGTCTTGATTGTCTAACTACTGTAATTATCGCTCTTTGCTCGTTAGACTGCCGGCTTCTCGTTGTTGCTGGGCGACAGCTGTCCACGGAGCTATCACGTGATCGAAGGGGGGGGGTGTCTTCACCTCACGTGAAGTATTCAGTCTGATCTAGACTCTCTTGGTGGTTGGACAGATTGTCTGTCTCATTATTCTTGTTAGTTCTGTAGAACTCTGTTCACAGAACATTGTATAGACTTAGTGATTTTCGACGTTGTACTGAGGTTGTGTGTCTCATAGACACTCTGAGTAACCCAGGTCCTGACCTAACTTGTACTGGTATCTGTGTATTATCACAGTCGGGGATTTTCTTATGCTGAACTTAGATTCAGTAGTATGGGAGTTTTGTGACTTTTGTGGAGGATCTGCAGATGGTCCCTACTTAGTGTCGTTATATTATCTCCTTGTTCCTGATTCTGTGTCGCAGTTGCTTGTTATATTGCTATTGGGCTTAGCATTCTTTTTGTTGTTCAAGCAGACTGTTCTGGTTGCCAGTCAGTCAAGAAGTTAGTTTATGTGAGGACTTTGTCAGTCACTTGTTTAATTAAGTCTAGTCGAGTCGTGAGACATAGCGAACTACTTAGAGCACTTACACACATACACACAAACTTGTACATATTTGTAATATCTTATTAAATGTTAAATGTACCAGACGGTACTTAAGAATGATAATGTGATATGTGCTTTCAACACAATAATACTGTAAACGAGAGAAGTGATATTATTTTGATTATTGTGATTAATTTAATTTAATTTAATTTGATAATATACCTCTAGACTTAATAAATTTATTAAATTTTAATTTCTCTAGTTAGTAGCCTACCAGTTGTAATCCTGAAGCACTACTGAATTATACTGAATTCTAATGGATAATTGGACAAGGATACTGACTACTTGTTACGAAAACCCAGTAACAAGCTGGATGCTAGAAGGGCAGTCCTTTCTAGTATTCACTGGAGATTTCTAAGCTTTTAGAATCGCGTTTTTTTTTAACACTGATGATACTGTGCTCATGGGAGATTCTAAAGAAAAACTGCAAATGTTAGTGGATGAGTTTGGGAGTGTGTGTAAAGTCTGAAAGTGAACAAAGAAAAGAGTAAGGTGATGAGGGTATCAAATGATTTAGATAAAGAAAAATTGGATATCAAATTGGGGAGGAGGAGTATGGAAGAAGTGAATGTTTCCATATACTTGGGAGTTGATGTGTCGGCGGATGGATTTTTGAAGGATGAGGTTAATCATAGAAGTGATGAGGGAAAAAAGGTGAGTGGTGCATTGAGGTATATGTGGAGACAAAAAACATTATCTATGGAGGCAAAGAAGGGAATATATGAAAGTATAGTAGTACCAACACTCTTATATGGGTGTGAAGCTTGGGTTGCGAATGCAGCAGCGAGGAGGCGGTTGGAGGCAGTGGAGATGTCCTGTCTAAGGACAATGTGTGGTGTAAATATTATGCAGAAAATTCGGAGGTGTGGAAATTAGGAGAAGGTGTGGAGTTAATAAAAGTATTAGTGAGAGGGCTGAAGAGGGGTTGTTGAGGTGGTTTGGTCATTTAGAGAGAATGGATCAAAGTAGAATGACATGGAGAGCATTTAAATCGGTAGGAGAAGGAAGACGGGGTAGGGGTCGTCCTCGAAAATGTTGGTAGGAAGGTGTAAGGGGGGTTTTATGGGCGAGGGGCTTGGACTTCCAGCAGGCGTGCATGAGTGTGTTCGATAGGAGTGAATGGAGACGAATGGTATTTGGGACCTGACGATCTATTGGAGTGTAAGCAGGGTAATATTTAGTGAAGGGATTCAGGGAAACCGGTTATTTTTATATAGCCGGACTTGAGTCCTGGAAATGGGAAGTACAATGCCTGCACTCTAAAGGAGGGGTTTCGGGATATTAGCAGTTTGGAGGTATATGTTGTGTAACTTCATACGTATATGCTTCTAAACTGTTGTGTTCTGAGCACCTCTGCAAAAATAGTGATTATGTGTGAGTGAGATGAAAGTGTTGAATGATTATGAAAGTATTTTCTTTTTGGGGATTTTCTTTCCTTTTGGGTCACCCTGCCTCGGTGGGAGACGGCCGACTTGTTGAGGAAAAAAAAAAGTGGAGTTAATAAAAGTATTAGTGAGAGGGCTGAAGAGGGGTTGTTGAGGTGGTTTGGTCATTTAGAGAGAATGGATCAAAGTAGAATGACATGGAGAGTGTATAAATCTGTAGGGGAAGGAAGGCGGGGTACGGGTCGTCCTCGAAAAGGTTGGAGGGAGGGGGTAAATTAAGTTTTGTGGGCGAGGGGCTTGGACTTCCAGCTAGCGTGCGTGAGCATGTTAGATAGGAGTGAATGGAGACGAATGGTATTTGGGTCCTGACGATCTGTTGGAGTGTGAGCAGGGTAATATTTAGTGAAGGGAATCAGGGAAATCTGTTATTTTTACATAGCCGGACTTGAGTCCTGGAAATGGGAAGTACAATGCCTGCACTCTAAAGGAGGGGTTCGGGATATTAGCAGTTTGGAGGGATATGTTGAGCATCTTTATAGGTATATGTTTCTAAGCTGTTGTGTTCTGAACACCTCTGCAAAAACAGTGATTATGTGTGAGTGTGGTGAAAGTGTTGAATGATGATAAAAGTATTTTCTATTTTGTTAATAAAAAAAATAAAATCTATACTTACATGATGCTGATACCCCCTTCTGTCTTTTCTGTATTCACAGGCAATTCTTGGCTTCCACAACTCTGCGAGGCCACTTGTTTTGTTATCCTTTTTGCTGTAATTATATAAATAACGGTAAATAAACACGAATGATGTATTGAAAAATATTTCAGTTCTCCCCACGCCTGAACCCTGCACAATAAAAGTTACATCATAAAATTAGCAATTGTAAATTAATGTATTATCTTAAATGCCTACCGAATGCAAGTGTCATTAAGGCTGCAATTCATCTTCACAAGAACACTGAGAATACAGTATTTGAATTCCTAATATGGGAATTATAGTGAATTCTTACTATATAATATATTCCCTCTCATTCAATTGCTGTATTCACCTAATTGTGGTTGCATGGGTCGAGTCTCAGCTCCTGGACCCGCCTCTCCACTGGCCGCTATTAAATCTATTCATTTGCAAATGAAATGCAAATGAACCAATATCGGAGCAAATTCTTCTTATTGTAATACACGTAACTTATTTTTTACGACATAATTCAAAGTAATTTTGTACACTATAACGTGAATACGACTATAGAATCATTACTAATTAGGTTACATTTGGTTATAGGTTGCATTAGGTAAAACTTAACCAAATTTATCCTGCTATAACCTAGCTTAAATAATTTAACCTAATGCAACCTCGCAAGATTCACTGAATACACATGAAGGTATTTGTTTCGCTAATTTCTTCCCAAATAACAATTTACAGATGAAATAACCAGTTTTCCTGGAGTATAACAACTTGCTGATATTAAAAAAAAAAAAAAAAAAAAAAAAAAAAAAATGCTTCAGTTCTGACAAGGTGTTAAATTCAATAATGGCCGTCCTATGTTTACCAAAGTTTTAGTTTAGTAAACCGTTTTCGTCTTACCATTCATGAACAATGCCCGATAAAAAGAAACATTACCATCAAATTCAATATAACATATTTACCTTTAATATCACGGACAAGTGAAAGGAGTGTTTCAGTAACATGTGCCTCTCGCTCATAGGAAGTACATAAATCCACTAGATACTGGATGATTACTTTCAGAACTCGAACAAAGTCTTCAAGCTGTTGAAAAGGAAATATATTTACTACCTCACAAGTCACGTTAACTACGTGTTGGATTTAAAGATCTTTTTTAATTCCTTCGTCATGGATAAACGTATTCAATTCAATATAATATAAAGGTATACAATGGAAACAAAATAATCAGAGCTGTTAAATTATTATTATTAAATCAATGGGGAAGCACTAAAACGATAAGTTATACAGGGCCTGGGAATGGGAAGGATTCAAATTTAACTCTACGAAGATAGGGGTATATCCATTCCTTGCATCAAGATTCCCCAGTTAAGGCACATCCATTAAAGACATCTATTCAAGACATTTGAAAATTAAAGAAGTGACTACCTGAAACATTGAGAATAATCCCCTTAAAGGGACAGATCTCTTCAAAGCATTTGGAAACTAGATGTGTTTCAGTCCCTGTATGCTGAGTCCAGTGAAGTTAAAAATCAGTACTGAAGATTCGAAGCCAATCATAAGGGCATTAACAGGTTATTGCATGGAAATTAATATCCAAAATTTCTTCAACAAAAATAGCAAATATTGGCACCTACACAACCCAACAGGTAACTGAAAAATGTGGATACATTTCCTATTAAAAACTACATGTAAAACCTAAATTAATTGTAGTATTAATATTAAATTTCTAATTTATAATATATGTAGTATTAATACTAAGTTTCTAATTATAATATATGTTTAAGTATGCTGCATTTTCCCGGATTACCTCCCCAGCAGCCCTGTCTTAGACTAAGCCGATCTGAACTGGAAACATTACAGGAATAAAAATTGTTAGGAAACAAAGGAAAGAAAATATAAGTACTAAATATGAAAAAGATGTTTGTAAGGTTTACCAAGTCTATTTTTGACTCTGTTCCTGAAGATGTCTGAGGACATTTTGGATCTGTTTCTGAAGATGCTTGATGAGCTTTTTGGTCTGTTTCTGAATATGCTGGAGGACTTTTTGGATCTTGAACATTTTTACTATCTTCTAGAAGCATTTTCTCTTGAGATCTGAGGTGATCATACAGAATAAACTTGTCTAATAACCTCTCAATTTCTTGCCTCATTTCGTACCTAACAAATAAATACAATCAGAAAACATATCACAATACTTACAAGGGAATTTCACGAAATAAATTATGATTACAACCTTTAGAATTTGTGACTTAACGATGGCAGTATACAATTCTTTTCTTAATAGATTAATAACCCTCTAACCATAAATATCCTTCACGAAGAAGGGCTCTTTATTATAGGAATCATCACTACCTTCCGCTTCTTTGGCTCAAACCAGATCACCTCCCATTCCCTTCGGGTTTCGAGTTTCCCCATGAATATAATTACATCCCCCAGACGCTATATGACCCCTACGGGTTTAGCATTTCCTCATGAATATGCAGTATTCTAATACTAATATTATTATTATATCCACAGTTAGACCTTATAATATACTTCCAAGATATTTGAATCGTCATAAAATGTCCAATATTTGAAGCAGTACAAAGAACAAGGATTTTTCTCCGCACAATATTATAGTACCGCATTAGGAAAGAAATATGTAACACGGTAGTGCCATTAATGGAAAAACGGTATTCAATGAAATGGTTATGTAGAGAAACGGTAACCAACATCCACAAGGGGTACTGCAGTTAGCTTACCAGAGAAAGGGTAACCTTTTTTTTTACATTTCTAAGTTTTTACATGAAAATGATGCAATCCGCAAATCTAGAAAGGTGCCTTTATGCTGGTGAAGGCCTCTTAATCCAAGGAATTGAGGCCACTCTTCCCTTCTTTGGCTTAAACATAACTGCCTCTAATTCCCCAGGCGATATATAGCCTATTTGTATTTAGGGATTCCCTAAAAAATAATATGATAATAAAGCTGCCATCCACTTTCATTTTAAAATAATGCAACAAAATGTGTAAAAAATTGCTTGTTTTATAGTTTTAAACTTCTAGAGCTGTATGACCTATACGTTTGGCGCATATTTTTCAATTTAATGATTATGATTAACTTTAAAAAAGTGAGAAAAACATGCGGACAATTTAAATATGGAGTGAAATTGTGAAGCATCCAATCATGAGTCAATATACATAGCACCCTATTTGATATGGTGCAGATATAAAAGATTTTTTTCTTTCTTTTTGGGTCACCCTTCCTCGGTGGGAAACGGCCAATGTGTGAAAAAAAAAGAAGTACAGTACTATGTTTAGGCTACAATTCTATAACCATTTCTGATTTGAATATTATAACACCCAAATGATGAATCAGACCTTTGTTTGGGCACAGTCTTTTACCTTACATTTTAAAAGTCCTAGCCTGCTCAAATAGAATGACGAGTATGAGCAACATTTGAATGAAAGATGGGCTAGAGTAATAGCAAGTAATAGATGTGGTATCATGTGGATTTAAGAATGCAGTGCTCGAGTGCACAGAGGATTGTGGTTATAGAAAGTTGAGAAGACAAATCATTGGTGGAATGATAAGGTTAAAAAAAAAAATGATGAGAAAATATGTTAACACGCGAATAGTTTTTACAAACACTTGAATAGTTTTACATTGCGGGTGCGGATGTAAGAAATTGTGCGGATGTTCCGCGGATGCGGATACGGATATCCGATACATCCCTACGAGTCCATTCTGATTTCTCCCCATTTATGCACTCTTACTTTCTTCATCGGTCTCCTGTGTGGAATTCTATCAAAGGTTTCACTGAAATTCATATACGTACACATTATCGTATTCATCACCTTCATCTACCGCCTTGAATACCTCAGTATAAAAAAAAAAAAAAAAAAAAAAAAAAAAAAATCGTAAGGCAAGAGAACCTTTGTAACACTGTGCCGAGATTCACTGATCAAATTAAGTCAATATTTCTTAAGAAAAGGTCGTTCTGCTGCTGATTACCAATTAAACCTCTCCACTATGTGGCATCTGTCGATAGATGAATCCATGGTCAGCACTGTACACTGAGGTGCTTTCGACCGAGTATGGTACAGGGACTCTTGGCAAAACTGTAAGCATTTAGAATCTCGGCCCAGGACACCAACACAATTACTGATTTCATCAACTTTCCCACAATGGAGGTTAGGCTGATTGGTCAACATCTTAAAGCTAAATACCAATTTCCCACTTTGTAAATAGGGATCACATTTGCTTTTTCCAACTTACCCGGCACGATACCTGTTTGTGTTCTGTTGAAAAGACTAGCTAATTGTTTTCTAAATTTTATTTACTGACAGCATATAAGAGAAGTATGAAACAGAATGCGAATGATATGTTTGATACTTGCAAAAATTACGTCTAGCAATGCTGAGTATCTAAAGTATATTTCATTTGCTAATTATCATACGATTTTCTTAAAAATATATTTACATCTCTTAAATTTGCTAAAAATCAACAGCAGATATATTAAAACTTCAACCCCCTGAATACTAATTACTAAAAAACAAGAATCTATACTTACATGAAACTAATAGCCCATTCCATTTTCTCTTGATTTACGGGCAACTCTTGGTTTCCATATTTCTGACACATCATGTCTGCCATGCTTTCAGCTGTAAACATATACATATATATTTACACATGTTTGTGATCTTAATTTACTTAGTGCTTAAAAAAAACATTGCTTACTAGCTATGTTGCAATGACAATAAAATGTCACTGCCCCGACTTCCTTGGGCCATCCTAGGTAACTCACACGTTATTGTGTATGTACGCATGTATGTATGGGTGTTTGTGCAGCTGTACGTAGATGAACAGGTACCCTGAAAAACTCACTTACGTTACAATGTATGACAACTGCTATCACGTACACCAGGTGCACACACCACACACTATCACTTAAAATACACTTCTGTTGATACTAACAAATACACATCATAATAACGTTAGCATCATTAGGTCTCTTATCTACCACCTTCAATTTTTATAATGTAATATTATCGATAAGGTAACAAAAGGACCCCAGTGGAAATAAGTCACTCTGACTTTTTGGGGGGTTATCCTTGGTTCTCTACACATATGCTGCTATATATGATAATCTATGTAACTGAATTTTTGTATACCTGAATAAACTTACTTACTTAACAAACACGAATGGTATATGGGAAACATTTCATTATTCCGCACGCCTTGGTTCGACCCGTCGTACCTGACACCGGATAGTGTTGTAGATTTCCCTACGCTATAAAAGAAGGTTGGTAGACAGCAACCACCCAGGGAAGTACTACCATCCTGCCAGATGACTGTGAAACAAAAACCTGTAACTGTTTTGCATGATGGTAGGATTGCTGGTTTCTTTTTCTGTCTCATAAACACGCTAGATAACAGGGATATCTTGCTACTCCTACTTACACTTTGGTCACACTTCACAGACACGCACATGCATATATATATACATACATCTAGGTTTTTCTCTTTTTCTAAATAGCTCTTGTTCTTCTTTATTTCTTCTATTGTCCATGGGGAAGTGGAAAAGAATCTTTCCTCCGTAAGCCATGCGTGTCGTATGAGGCGACTAAAATGCCGGGAGCAATGGGCTAGTAACCCCTTCTCCTGTAGACATTTACTAAAAAAGAGAAGAAGAAAAACTTTATAAAACTGGGATGCTTAAATGTGCGTGGATGTAGTGCGGATGACAAGAAACAGATGATTGCTGATGTTATGAATGAAAAGAAGTTGGATGTCCTGGCCCTAAGCGAAACAAAGCTAAAGGGGGTAGGAGAGTTTCAGTGGGGGGAAATAAATGGGATTAAATCTGGAGTATCTGAGAGAGTTAGAGCAAAGGAAGGAGTAGCAGTAATGTTAAATGATCAGTTATGGAAGGAGAAAAGAGAATATGAATGTGTAAATTCAAGAATTATGTAGATTAAAGTAAAGGTTGGATGCGAGAAGTGGGTCATAATAAGCATGTATGCACCTGGAGAAGAGAGGAATGCAGAGGAGAGAGAGAGATTTTGGGAGATGTTAAGTGAATGTATAGGAGCCTTTGAACCAAGTGAGAGAGTAATTGTGGTAGGGGACCTGAATGCTAAAGTAGGAGAAACTTTTAGAGAGGGTGTGGGTAGGTAAGTTTGGGTGCCAGGTGTAAATGATAATGGGAGCCCTTTGATTGAACTTTGTATAGAAAGGGGTTTAGTTATAGGTAATACATATTTTAAGAAAAAGAGGATAAATAAGTATACAAGATATGATGTAGGGCGAAATGACAGTAGTTTGTTGGATTATGTATTGGTAGATAAAAGACTGTTGAGTAGACTTCAGGATGTACATGTTTATAGAGGGGCCACAGATATATCAGATCACTTTCTAGTTGTAGCTACATGAGAGTAAAAGGTAGATGGGATACAAGGAGAATAGAAGCATCAGGGAAGAGAGAGGTGAAGGTTTATAAACTAAAAGAGGAGGCAGTTAGGGTAAGATATAAACAGCTATTGGAGGATAGATGGGCTAATGAGAGCATAGGCAATGGGGTCGAAGAGGTATGGGGTAGGTTTAAAAAATGTAGTGTTAGAGTGTTCAGCAGAAGTTTGTGGTTACAGGAAAGTGGGTGCAGGAGGGAAGAGGAGTGATTGGTGGAATGATGATGTAAAGAGAGTAGTAAGGGAGAAAAAGTTAGCATATGAGAAGTTTTTACAAAGTAGAAGTGATGCAAGGAGGGAAGAGTATATGGAGAAAAAGAGAGAGGTTAAGAGAGTGGTGAAGCAATGTAAAAAGAGAGCAAATGAGAGAGTGGGTGAGATGTTATCAACAAATTTTGTTGAAAATAAGAAAAAGTTTTGGAGTGAGATTAACAAGTTAAGAAAGCCTAGAGAACAAATGGATTTGTCAGTTAAAAATAGGAGAGGAGAGTTATTAAATGGAGAGTTAGAGGTATTGGGAAGATGGAGGGAATATTTTGAGGAATTGTTAAATGTTGATGAAGATAGGGAAGCTGTGATTTCGTGTATAGGGCAAGGAGGAATAACATCTTGTAGGAGTGAGGAAGAGCCAGTTGTGAGTGTGGGGGAAGTTCGTGAGGCAGTAGGTAAAATGAAGGGGGTAAGGCAGCCGGGATTGATGGGATAAAGATAGAAATGTTAAAAGCAGGTGGGGATATAGTTTTGGAGTGGTTGGTGCAATTATTTAATAAATGTATGGAAGAGGGTAAGGTACTAGGGATTGGCAGAGGCATGCATAGTTCCTTTGTATAAAGGCAAAGGGGATAAAAGAGAGTGCAAAAATTATAGGGGGATAAGTCTGTTGAGTATACCTGGTAAAGTGTATGGTAGAGTTATAATTGAAAGAATTAAGAGTAAGACGGAAAATAGGATAGCAGATGAACAAGGAGGCTTTAAGAAAGGTAGGGGGTGTGTGGACCAGGTGTTTACAGTGAAAACATATAAGTGAACAGTATTTAGATAAGGCTAAAGAGGTCTTTGTGGCATTTATGGATTTGGAAAAGGCGTATGACAGGGTGGATAGGGGGGGCAATGTGGCAGATGTTGCAAGTGTATGGTGTAGGAGGTAGGTTACTGAAAGCAGTGAAGAGTTTTTACGAGGATAGTGAGGCTCAAGTTAGAGTATGTAGGAAAGAGGGAAATTTTTTCCCAGTAAAAGTAGGCCTTAGACAAGGATGTGTGATGTCACCGTGGTTGTTTAATATATTTATAGATGGGGTTGTAAGAGAAGTAAAATGCGAGGGTCTTGGCAAGAGGCGTGGAGTTAAAAGATAAAGAATCACACACAAAGTGGGAGTTGTCACAGCTGCTCTTTGCTGATGACACTGTGCTCTTGGGAGATTCTGAAGAGAAGTTGCAGAGATTGGTGGATGAATTTGGTAGGGTGTGCAAAAGAAGAAAATTAAAGGTGAATACAGGAAAGAGTAAGGTTATGAGGATAACAAAAAGATTAGGTGATGAAAGATTGAATATCAGATTGGAGGGAGAGAGTATGGAGGAGGTGAACGTATTCAGATATTTGGGAGTGGACGTGTCAGCAGATGGGTCTATGAAAGATGAGGTGAATCATAGAATTGATGAGGGAAAAAGAGTGAGTGGTGCACTTAGGAGTCTGTGGAGACAAAGAACTTTGTCCTTGGAGGCAAAGAGGGAATGTATGAGAGTATAGTTTTACCAACGCTCTTATATGGGTGATGAATGTTGCAGCGAGGAGAAGGCTGGAGGCAGTGGAGATGTCATGTCTGAGGGCAATGTGTGGTGTGAATATAATGCAGAGAATTCGTAGTTTGGAAGTTAGGAGGAGGTGCGGGATTACCAAAACTGTTGTCCACAGGGCTGAGGAAGGGTTGTTGAGGTGGTTCGGACATGTAGAGAGAATGGAGCGAAACAGAATGACTTCAAGAGTGTATCAGTCTGTAGTGGAAGGAAGGCGGGGTAGGGGTCGGCCTAGGAAAGGTTGGAGGGAGGGGGTAAAGGAGGTTTTGTGTGCGAGGGGCTTGGACTTCCAGCAGGCATGCGTGAGCGTGTTTGATAGGAGTGAATGGAGACAAATGGTTTTTAATACTTGACGTGCTGTTGGAGTGTGAGCAAAGTAACATTTATGAAGGGATTCAGGGAAACTGGCAGGCCGGACTTGAGTCCTGGAGATGGGAAGTACAGTGCCTGCACTCTAGAGGGGTGTTAATGTTGCAGTTTAAAAACTGTAGTGTAAAGCACCCTTCTGGCAAGACAGTGATGGAGTGAATGATGGTGAAAGTTTTTCTTTTTCGGGCCACCCTGCCTTGGTGGGAATCGGCCAGTGTGATAATGAAATGATAATATTTATTAAACTCCAGGTGTTGCAGTTCGTCATTATTGGTGGATAGGCGTGTTTAAGACACAACACGAAGAGGGGCTGCATTTGTGAGTTAGTGGAATTTTTCACGTCAAAATTACTTCAACGTTCCTCCTTAATAAATGTCTGGAAACTGAATATGAATTTTTATGAGCCTTTTTCACTTCAGAAACGGGTCTCCGTTTTGTTCACTCTTAACAAGTCATGTCTCACTCATAACTGCATGTACTGATGTGCCTGAATAATTGGTTATATGCAATCATTCAACGCTGAGTTAACAAACCATAAATAACACGTAAATTGTTCAATAACCATGTATCATGGTAAGAAGTGACACCAAGCCAAATGTTTATCAATGCTTTAGTAACACTGAATATACTAACCTTCAAAATCATTGAGTATTAATGGAAGCACTTCAAGAAAACATGTGTGTACTTCATTTAGATGTGTATGTTCTCCCTCGGAAGAAGCTTGTTCCACTGCATACTGAATGAGAGCTTTGAAGATTTTTTTCAAACCTTCACACTGTAGGAAAATTAAATCTAAATGCCTGGTCATGATTAATGTATAGTCCATGCAACATAATGTAAAGGTATACAAAGTAAATAAAACATGACCAAACCTGTTCAATTAGCATATTATTATAGTAATCATGAGGAAGAGCTAATCTTGTATGAAAAAAAATAAGATTTAATTTGAAGATGAAGGCATCAATTCCCTGGATCAAGATCTTTTCACCAGCATCAATGCTTTATATAGTGCATATTTTGTTTTCAATCAGGAAAAAAACGCTAAACCAGCAGGGAGGGGGGAAAGTAAGCATGAATAATTTCCAGGGGGTAAGGGGGGGGCGCAAACCCAGAGAAAAATAAGGAATGGCCTTATTAACGTGGATTTTCATGGAAGAGGGAAGGTTTCACTCATCGCAGATAATTCAGAATGTTGTAAGTGGTAGCAATATCAATCGAAATGTGAAATTCCATTAAAAGTGACTAAATTTTGGTAACTTATCTTTATCCTGGCGAGACTGCACTTCCTCGCTTCGAGCTGATTGGTTGAACGTATTGTCTGAATAACATTTAACGCCTTTCAAACGCAGCCTCGTAGGCGCTTCACTTTTCACTTTATTTAACGCAAATTGAGAAGTTACAGTAACCATACACAAAATAGGGAAGAGAAGCAGTAGCACAAGGAGGAAGAGGAACACAATCTAATCATAGGAAATATGAGTTAAATTCTCATATGACGGAAGGTGGGGTGTGGAGATGAAGACCAACTGCGATAGTGGGCGCTACCCAAAGTGACTAGTTTATTGTGCACCCGATATCCATCCTGTGGACGGTAGCCTAGGAACTAGGCGCCAAAAGGGTTAACAGGTGTACATATGGATTTATATCTACATATATATACAGTTCACTTTTCTGTTACAAGCAAATTTAGGAAATTAGCTTATTATATCTGGAATCTTATTTTCATTAATAAGATATCTTGACACGTGACAGGTTATTATACTATCTCTGTATTCCTCAATAAGTGGACTTAAGCACATGGTGTTCAAGACAGTGACCATATGCCTAATCACATAATTTGCATTTAGTTTGATCATGTGTCTGCCAAACTGCCAGAAGTACTTGTAACCAAGCCTAAGCCTGGCCACTACAACATCAGTCAGTCTGTTCACATTGCAAGTTGCTCCATAAACATACTTATCTACGTTCATGTTATCATAGTGGGTTATAGATCTACTCAGGCTTCTAACTGCATTCCTATAACAATCATTTTCATTATTTACTTCTCTCGTAATATTATTCCTAATGCTAGATACATTATTATTATTATAATCAAGGGGGAAGCGCTAAACCCGGAAGATTATACAGCGCCTGGGGGGGGATGTGGAAGGCATTCAGGCTTAATTCGGGGAACTGGAGCACAGATCCAATTCCCTAAATCAAGAGCCCCTCACCAACATCAAGGAACCTTCCTTGAGGGGAATGCTAGATACAGATATACCAAAGTTATATTCTACATTCTCCTTCTGGGTACTCTTATTGGCTAACATGTCAACTTTATCATTAAGGAGTAATCCAATGTGTGATGAGATCCATAGCAATTGTACATTAATTTCTTTGTCCCGGATTTTTGAGTATCTATACTTGGCTTCTCCAATGAGCATATTGTTGGAGTCATTATATGACTCAAGAGCCTTCAGAGATGACATAGAATCAGTAATGATGATAAGAGTCAAACTCAGTGTCATAAGATAGCTTTAGCGCCATTAGGATTGCAAAGAATTCAGTCTGCAGTGTAGACGCCCGGTTGTTAATTCTTATGCCTAGTTCAACAAATTTATTATCCTTCTTAACTAGGGAGGTGGCAACAAGAGCAGATGCAGCCCTGCCAGAAGACTCCTGTTTAGATCCATCAGTGTATATAACTTGTGATAACTTATTACTACCAGCTAGGCGAGAAATTTCTTATTGAGCAGTTGCTTTAACAAGTGATTTAAGGAAGAGATTACTAGGAACGAGTTTCTTGGGAGGGACTTGAAGGTATGTGATATTAAATGAACACATCTTCCATGGAGGGGTGAAATGCTCTTTCACCCCTCCATGGAAGACGTGTTCATTTAATATCAGATTTAAGAACCACTGCCTTATTTATTTATTTATTAATTTGAACATGATACAGTGAAGTACAAAGGAATACAGTTATTACAGTGCAACATACCAAAGCCCCTTGTATGCAGAGCATTATGGGCAGGCTTAAAATTAACTTAAGATTAACTAAGCAATGATATATTCAGTGGTAAAAACATTATTGTAAACAGATAACAATTTAGCACAAATGAGTATTACAAAGACAGGTCATATGGTCATTTACTGTGCATTCAGTAGAATGGAGTATTCTGTTAGGTAATGTAATTAAAAAAAAGCGCCTATGCAAATATTTCACAAGGTATATAAATATTACTTGTAACTATAAAATGAGTATATTAAGACGCAGATTTAAGGGCATGAGAAAATAAAAAGGCAATGCAGAAAGATTACTAACCCATTATATGCATCTCCAATTTACACCCAACAATTCTATATCACAGTCCAACACACATTCATATCTTCTCGAATTATTTGTTTGGTAGTTGATCTTAGCTATCTACAACTATGCAAAAGAATTTTTTTCCCACTTTCTAAACCTGAATTTATTAAATTTGATTACAATATTACATTCATGGAAGTGCGCTAAACCCGTAGGGATCATACAGCGCCGGGAGGAATGGGAGGCATTCAGGTTTGAAGGGAAGCACAGGTCAAATTCCTTGGATCGAAGTCTTACCCGCTTAAGGAACCCTCGAGTGGGATTCAATTTGAATCCTTTGAGTTTGATAGCTATTTTAAGCACCTTATTTGTTACAATTATCTTCCACTAGTAAGTAATTCTTAGCTTTATTATGCGCCCCCATACTCATCTTATGTGCAGTAGTCAAGATTACAAACGCACTTAACAGGTACATTTCAACATTACACCTACTCATTCTACGCCTTTCAGTAATGTAGATTCAGAGCTCTCTAATCTAAAAGATTAACTTAGGCATCTTAATCTAAAATTTTCCAGGGCACTTCTATCCATTTTGTATAACGAGGACTATCATTTTTATTATTAACTGTAGTAACCAGCAAGGAGGAAGAGGAAGAGAAGAAAGGGGAGGAGCAAGAGGAGCAGCAGCAACAGGAAGAGGAGCAGCAGCAGCAGGTGGGGGAAGAGGAGCAGTAGCAGGAAGAGCAGTAGCAGGAGGAAGAGCAGTAGCAAGAGGAAGAGCAGTAGCAAGAGGAAGAGCAGTAGCAAGAGGAAGAGCAGCAGCAGCAGGAAGAGGAACAGTTGCAGGAGGAGGAAGAGTAGCAGTAGCAGGAGGAAGAGCAGCAGTAGCAGGAGGAAGAGGAGCAGTAGCAGGAGGAAGGGCAGTAGCAGGAGGAAGAGCAGGAGGAAGAGGAGCAGCAACAGGAGGAAGAGGAGCAGTAGCAGGAGGAAGAGCAATAGCAGGAGGAAGAGGAGCAGTAGCAGGAGGAGGAAGAGGAGCAGTAGCAGGAGGAAGAGGAACAGTAGCAGGAGCAACAGCAGCAGCAAGCAAGCAGGCAGGTGCTGAGGCACGCTTATACTACAGTAGTTTTTGGTCATCTGATTAAAGGCCTACCGCTGGCTTGCCGATCTACCCTTTTAAAAATTAGATTCATAAAATATCCATTTGATGACGGGTATAAATAAAGGAGATATAAATTCGGTGCTAAGAATATCTAACCAAGCATTAACTCGAAAGAAAAGATTAAAGTTGAATTAAATTAAGATTTAGAAAGGTTGCAGACGAATGGCCCAATCTGCCAAGTAGTGATAAATATGCTAGCGAGAAGTTTGGTTTGAGGTCCTGCCTAATACTGGCCAGTAACCCTACAACAGTACCCTCTCTGTTCTTGTGTTCTAATTTTCAATGCAAGTTTAAAGTGTATTACATTTCCAGGGATCATCTCCCCCCGCGGCCCAACTTTAGAATAAGCCGTGCTGTAAACATTTGCACTAGGAAAAAAACATAGGAATTCAAGAAATTGTGAGGTTTACCGGCCATCTTACATGCTCATGAGACTGACCAGCAATCTTGCTAGTGTAAAACATTCAACTGGTTCACACACATGATAGTACGTTAGTAGTCTTAAGCGCTATGATCCTTATGTCAGCGCTTCCTCATAAAAAGTTTCTACTTGGGATATGCATCGGCGTCACCTTTCTTGATACTGCCCCATACATTATCTTCATACACAAAATATAATTACATTAGAAACAAAAAAAGCAAACCTCTGTGGGTCATAAAGCACTAGCCTTCAGTAAACATACATGAACATTCCTGGAAAACATCATAAATCTTATAAATCCTAGTATTTATTATTACATTCACTGGGAAGCGTTAGTCACGTAGTTTATATGGCGCCTTGGGAATTAGAGGTAATCAGGTTTCATCCAAAGGGATTATTTTTTTTATTACTATTACATTAATGGGGAGCACCAAACCGGTAGGGGTTATACAGCGCCTACGGATAACTACTGGAAGCGACAACCCCGTTGGAGCTTAGTGGGGAATGGATGGCAATCAAGTTTTGATCTAAGGGAGGCTAGGTCCACTTCCTTGGATCAACAGTCCCCCACCAGAATCAAGGAGAGGAGCCAAGGAAAAAAATAGCTTCAGTTCCTGGGACCAAAAGCCGTTGCTCTTGGTCCCAGGAATCCCAGGTTCACCAGCGTCTTCCCCATGATCCTACAAAAATTAATGCAAATAAAAAAAAAAGGTAAATGAAGATTGTTATTGTAAATAGTTTATGCCTACCATTTTCTGAATCTCTTGGTGTAACTTGCTTCTAGGAAGTGTGCTGGAAGCCATTCTGACTCCAAGCTTCAATGGTAAAGAAAAACCAGGTGATCAGCAGCTACACCCACTCTCCTCAGAAGTTGGTCGTTGACTAACGTTTTCAAAAGGCGGGAAAATAGTCTGACCATCGATGTAAGTTCTAGAACCAAAATTATATATTTTTTTTATTCTCAATGTTTTAATTTGGATTTTATTTAAAAAGATAAGTAAAAAAATCTGCATCTGTTTTGCTATTCCACTTAAAAAATAAAACATTCCTAGTGATCAAAATGTGTAGCCACTCTACGTGGCTACACAGTTAGTAAATGTTGGATTGATTTAAAGTCTCCATACACACACACACACACACACATACATTAGGCGGGGCCAGGAGCTGAGTCTCGACCCCTGCAACCACAATTGGGTAAGTACATAAACTATAAAAAAATGGTCACTATAGGTATCACATCAATTTGGTTACCTTCCGATGAAAGGAAACAATTTATAGATTGAACTTAATTTAAAAATTTGTAGAAATTTGTTAGGCTACCATGGTGTTCGGAATTTGAACTATCATGAGTTGTCTTTATTTCCTGTAACGAAAATTATTCCACCAATCACTCCTCTTTCCTCCTGCCCCCACCCTCCTATAACCACAAACTTATGCCCCACATTCTAATACTGCATTTTAAAAACTATTCCAACCCTCTTCAACCCCCCTCGCGCTGTATAGCCCTTGTGGCTTAGCGCTTCTTTTTATTATTATAATAATAATAATAATAATAATAATAATAATAATAATAATAATAATAATAATAATAATAATAATAATGTAACGAAAATTATTGTTGTAAGGGCATATTGCAATTATACAACAGTAACTGAATGCGGAATTTATTAAGAAATCCGGGATGCTCAGACTAGTAAGGGGACTCGTACATAACCTCATGGCTATAATCAAGAAATCAAATAATACCCCAGTGTGCAATGTTCAGTTGTAGTGCACAGCAGTTAAAGATATTTTACCACCGAACGATTTCTTTGATTTACATGGGCCACCCTTGATTCAGAGGACAGGAGATAATATTAAGATCTGGAATTAGCAACTACAGTGCCGACATCAGCATGTATGCCCATGGAATAACACGAAAGACTTTTTGTTGGACAGACAACCTTTGATCCAGCAAAGAAGATTCATTCTGGCGCGATCATTAATGATTACATGTCGATCAGTAATGTCATATGTATATTTCAGTCAGGGAAAGGAATATAGAAACTCAGTGTAGAGGATAAGGAAGGCGTTGTAGGAACTGGCAATGTACAGGTGGGGAAGGCAGTATAGAAACTGTTATTGTACAGGGTTAGGAAGTTAATGTAGCTGTCAGTGTACAGGATGAAGGTGGTGTGGGAGCTGTCAGTGTACTGCGTGAGGAAGGTGGTGTGGGAAGCATTCTATGTACGAGGTGGAAGTGGCTGTAGAGCTGTCAGTGTACAGGATGAGAAGGTGGTGTGGGAGCTGTCAGTGTACAGGGTAAAGGTGGTGTGGGAGCTGTCAGTGTACGGTAAGGGTGTAGAGGTCAGTGTCAGTAGGGGTGTGGGAGCTGCGGTACAGTAAATGTGTGGAGCTGTCAGTGTACAGGGTAAAGGTGGTGTGGGAGCTGTCAGTGTACAGGGTAAAGGTGGTGTGGGAGCTGTCAGTGTACAGGGTGAGGAAGGTGGTGTGGGAGCTGTCAGTGTACAGGGTAAAGGTGGTGTGGGAGCTGTCAGTGTCAGGCAAAGTGTGTGGGAGCTGTCAGTTACAGGGTAAAGGTGGTGTGGGAGCTGTCAGTGTACAGGGTAAAGGTGGTGTGGGAGCTGTCAGTGTACAGGGTAAAGGTGGTGTGGGAGCTGTCAGTGTACAGGGTAAAGGTGGTGTGGGAGCTGTCAGTGTACAGGGTAAAGGTGGTGTGGGAACTGTCAGTGTACAAGTGGTGTGGGAGCTGTCAGTACACAGGGTAAAGGTGGTGTGGGAGCTGTCAGTGTACAGGGCAAAGTTGGTGTGGGAGCTGTCAGTTTACAGGTTAAAGGTGGTGTGGGAGCTGTCAGTGTACAGGGTAAAGGTGGTGTGGGAGCTGTCAGTGTACAGGGTAAAGGTGGTATGGGAGCTGTCAGTGTACAGGGTAAAGGTGGTGTGGGAGCTGTCAGTGTACAGGGTAAAGGTGGTGTGGGAGCTGTCAGTGTACAGGGTAAAGGTGGTGTGGTGGGACGGAGGTGGTGGGGTGTCAGTGTACAGGGTGAGAGGTGGTTGGGAGCTGTCAGTGTACAGGGTAAAGGTGGTGTGGGAGCTGTCAGTGTACAGGGTAAAGGTGGTGTGGGAGCTGTCAGTGTACAGGGTAAAGGTGGTGTGGGAGCTGTCAGTGTACAGGGTAAAGGTGGTGTGGGAGCTGTCAGTGTACAGGGTAAAGGTGGTGTGGGAGCTGTCGGTGTACAGGGTAAAGGTGGTGTGGGAGCTGTCAGTGTACAGGGTGAGGAAGGTGGTGTGGGAACTGTCGGTGTACAGGGTAAAGGTGGTGTGGGAGCTGCCAGTGTACAGGGTGAGGGGTGTGTGGGACTGTCGGTGTACTAGGTGAGGAATGTGGTGTGGAACTTCGTGCTTATGTGCACTGAGTATCCATTGGTGGGGCGATAACGATGTTACAGTTCATGAGTCAAGACAGAGGAACAATTTATTAACCAACACTATGTTATTAGTGATTATTATGTAAAGATTGCGGTATTCTCCCGGACAGGGCTTTCCAAGTGGTGGCCGGCCTTGGCTCTCTTTAGGGAGGTGTCTGGGGACCAGTTCCATGGGGAGGCACAGGTAACCTCCTTCATCTTTGGGACCAACTGTACCAGGCCTAGCAGAAGCTAGGCTTTGGTTGCCATCCCGCCCCAGGGGGCTAATGGGAATGACAGTCTTATGAGCTAAAGGCTTGGGCTCAGCCTACCCTACCCTAGAAGGGTTAGGCATGGTGTCGATCAAAAACCAAACACTTTAAAGTAATAATGAGGTAAAGGAATTATAGATTTAGTAACAACAGTAGGAACTTTTTATACAAAGAATTTATTAAACAATTTACACTAGTTATGAGTTACACTTGGCAAAACTAAGGCAATTTTCTCGAGTTCTTTGGTAATGTAAATGAAATATTTCACTTCTTGAATAATATTTGTAAACGAATTGTCTCTAAATTCCTTTTTTTTTTTTTGCAATGAAACGATAACGTAGGGATTGAAAATAGGTCTGTAATAAAGTTGGTAGAATTACCGACAATATGTAAAGTAAAAGGACACAAGTGCAACTAATGTGACATTTATTGTGGCAACGTTTCGCTCTCCAGGAGCTTTATCAAGCCATTACAAACAATACATGGACACAGAGGGTATATAAAGGCTCAGAGTGAGGTGAATACTAGTGAGGTACCATTTCGATGTTCAATAGTGGTAGTAGTAGTAGTAGTAGTAGTGGTAGTGACAAAAGTAATACAATATGGTAGAGCAATTAATTCGTACATGAGTAAAAGGATATAAAAGCTATTACTTGGGTAACATAAGAATAGGTTGGACAAATAGGTCTCCTGATTTTACAGGAAGTATCATAGATATGTTTTTCTTCCTGCATGATGGATGAATTGACCGGTGTAAACCTGGCTGTTTTCTGTAATATGTCTAAATCTAATTCTTATGCGAATTTAGAACGAGGCTTGGTATGTAATTCATTATAACACCTATAAAGCTAATCATATAATGACTGAGTTGCAAAAAACATGGAATTTTGATAAAGCACGTTCAGTAAGGTGAGACTGATAATACCTCCCGTGGGAGGCCTAATTAAAAAAATTATTGCGTTTTGAATATCATGGACAACTTGTCGTTGAGCCCGGGCTCCAACAGAAGCAGTTTGAAAGAACTTTAGAATTTAGGGAGTACGATTTTTTTCTATGTGCTAGGCTTATTCTTTTAATATTATAATTCAGTACTTGGAGTTTAAGGTTATTGCAATTGGTATGATTTATGGTGGGTAAATGTTTTGGTTAAAGTACTCTACGAGGGAGGTCAGTATTTCCCATGTTGAAATGTCTAGCGATATATTTGTTATAGCAGATGTATAAGTGGTACAGATAATACAAAAACCAAAACTTAGAATCAAGAATACCTTCATACATATGTGTGTGGATCGGTTCCTGGGCCCCACACTTTGCACATCAACGTCTTCAGGTTATATTAAGTAAGGTTTGTGATGAATGGTTTTGAAAACCGACAAGTTGAAGATTGAGACACTTATGCAACGTATGGGAATCTTTATCAAAGAAACGTTTCGCCGCACAGTGGATTTATCAGTCCAATACAAAGTAGAAATGGGTTAGGAGAGGAGGAGTTTGAGGTTTACCCGGAGTGTACCTGGAGAGGGTTTCGGGGGTCAACGCCCCCGCGGCCCGGTCTGAGACCAGGCCTCGTGGTGGATCAGGGTCTGATCAACCAGGCTGTTACTGCTGGCAGCACGCAAGCTGACATACGAACCACAGCCCGGTTGGTCAGGTACTGACTTTAGGTGCCTGTCCAGTGCCTTCTTGAAGACAGTCAGGGGGGGTCTGTTGGTAATCCTCCTTATGTATTCTGGGAAGCAGTTGAACAGTCATGAGCCCTAATTAGTCCCTCAGTCTGGAATCGATGTGTTCAGTCCATCCAGTAAGGTTTGTCAGGAAACAGGACAAATCTTTCCTGACGCGTATCTTAGTCATATGATGACCCGCAGCTGGAGCTTTTGGTCATCTGATCGAGACCTTCTGCTGGCTGACCGGTCCAACACTTTAAAAATTATGGTTGTAATTATAACCATTAGATTGCTACCAATGTCCTTGTTTAAGAATGACAAGACATTTTCATTTCTGTTACTAAACTGCGAGTTGCCAATGTTTTCGTGTCTAGCATTTACCTGGAGTTTTCTGCTGCTGTTATGTTACTGAGTTTATTTCTCCTGCTGTTGCTGCTGCTGTCATCATAAACGAATCTCCCGCATCTGCTCCTATCATTATATTTATCAGACATGTATAATTATGTAAATGGTATATAATACCAACAGTTAGATGAATAAGACACTATGT